CCCCCCCCCCCCCACAATCACTACTCCTTTCCCTCCGATAATGGCCTTAAAAAGGAGTAAAAGGCTAATACAAACGGCCCCCGAGTGAAAAAAGTATGACTTTAGTGTCATTAGAACCCCGGCCGCAAATGTTTAACTACCTAGTACTTGATTTGTTAGGCCCGGGCGGAAGAGCTTCGATATATCGTATTTCCGTAGATCTACTGTGAGTCTAAAATGATCGATGTTAATCATTTCTGATGTGAAATTCAACGTTCTTTCAGAATCCGCCATTAACTTTTGCATGAGAGCAGCCGTTTCAAAGAAAAATGGGCATTTTCGGGAAAAAACTGAAATTTCCGTAAATGCCTGTTTTTTCGGCGGCCATTTTGAGGGGTTCAAAGTCGTTTTACAAAAAAATTCATAGAAGTCATTTTTATTGGAAATTTTATGAACTTTTATTCACTAGGTAACTTATTTTTCGCTAAAACCAATTCTTTTTGAGATATTTACGAAAAACCGAGGAAAGGTCGATTTTTTGGGGGTTTTGGGGGGGCGGGGGGTCGAGCGTACAGGGGATTCTTGGGGACTTTTTGCTGGGAGTCCCTGGCACCCCAATGAACAACTTGGGCACATAAAACCTTATATATAATTTTTTTTTTTCTAATCGCCGATTTTTGATCTAATATGCCTGGACTATAGGGTATCTGTATCTTCATGAATATTCATATTACAATCTGTGATAGTTAATAATACGTATATTGATGTCATTATCATAGGGATAAAAATAATAATAATATTTGATTAAATAATTCACTATTAAATTACCTGCTGTGTCTTCTGAGTTCTTGATATCATTTCTGTGCTTTGCTCGAAGTTCCACCATCTGGAATTATAATTTCTAATGAATCGCCTAAAGTTTAATTTTTCATGTAATCAAACTCACTATTTATAGTCTACATAGTTCGCCAAGACCATTATATCTATTCTCTATTACTAGAAAAAATTATTATTTTCTTCTTTTTTTGCAAAGTTACATTTAATTTAAAACGACTTTCCAGAGACGACGAAAACGCTTTATAATCGAATGCAAAAGTTATCTCTCTTAAATGCTAGTGAATAAGCTGTTTTTTACAACGTCATTTTACTTATACACAAATCACTCATAATTTACAAATCTAAACTAGCTGTTTTTAATCATCTAAAGTCCATGTATACAAGCCATGCAAACTTTTTATTAATACCTTTATAAATGTACCTTTATAATCGTATTTTCATGTTGATGACTCATTTTTTTAAGTAAAAATATTTTTTCCATTATTGTTAAAAATAAGGGTAAAATGAGGTAATTTAATTTTTTAAAGCGTTTGATCCTTTTTGTCCATTCTTTCTATGATGCCAACCATAACGAGACTTACCTCTCTTGCAAGAGCTCTCATATCTTTCACCAAACCTTCTATTTCTTTCTGTTTTCCAAGGAGAGAATACAGTAAATCCGGTTGCAAAAGTATGTTAAACATTCTCGTAAAGATCATTTGCGTCGATCTGCAAAAAATGCGATTCATTTGTACCCGAGGCGTGGTAATTTTTAATGATTTGATATCAAAATGTAAGCAAATCTTCACAAAGTTTTTTCCAGTTTAACGGAATGAAAAATTAAATCGATTTTCTTCAAGGAGGTTTGTACAGAATATTGTACTTTGGTGCTGAGTAAAAGTTATCATTATAAATCTTTGAAATCTGCTCTCAATTACTCGTGTATTGCATATGTACAACGAAAGTTAGGGATCTAAATTGCGAAGTTTAAATTTATTTTTATGATCTAGAGAAAATAGAGCTGAAAAATCGGATGTATTTCTGCCAAACGAAACTATGTGCATTAGTGCATGAGCCCTGAGACCCATAAGAATATATTCATAACGAGACTTACGTCATTATGCACATAGTTCTGTTTGGTAGAACTACGTCCAATCATCTTTGAATATTTTTGAATGAGAGAAGGAAATTTCTATGAAAATTCAAAAACAATTTTCGCTTATATTTCTCCGAAAAACAAAATATGCGCGGATATCAACAAAGTAGCGAGTTCAGCTATCGATATTATTCGATACGCCTTTTTCACAATATCTCTCATGATGCGCAGAAGAGTAATAATGGTTGTACAGGTAACCGCAAATTTCAAAATATAACCTCGAATAATGGTCGTAAAATCTTGACAATCCCAAGCCGTTAAAACTGATGCACGACACGCCACCATTTTGTAACAACTGTGCCAACTCTCTTACCATGTCTTGATAGTACATTTTGATGATCGAATTGCACTCATCATTGCATAAATATATTAAATCGCAAAAAGCTGAGATTAACGTGGGAAAGAATCAACCAACTCAATAAATCGAGGGTGGTTTAATTTTGCTCATTGGAAATTTGATTAAACTTTATGAATCTATTTGAGGATACATTTTTTCATATGCTGATGTTCCAATTTTAGAAATAAATTCTTTGAGTTTACTCGTTTCATTATAACAGTTTAGAATATTCCTTAATCGAAAGTGATCAAAAAAGCCAAGATCACACGAGCAACAACTCGGCTACAACACAACATCTCAGTACCCAATATTAAATAAAACAACAGTTTTAACCGATGAATTCAAATATTTTTGTACTATAAACATTAAAATAGACTTACTTCTCCAAATTAGTTGATATGTGGGTCAAGTTTTTCTTTTGAACATCCATGCGACAACCCATCATGTTCTCTGAAAACATTAAAACATTTCATTTCATATATAATGTGAATATCGCATAAGTACATGCATTCCTTACAGATACATAATCATGTTGAGATCAATAGTATTTTAATGAGTTTCGTCACTTTTAGAGCGTTTTCTTCCGCGAAGTCGAACGATGTATTAATCAAATACTTTTTTTTCTCCTTCTAAGCTGTAAATTTCATGCATATGAAAACAAACGAAAGTTATAAATGAGTTCTCTGACTTCCAATCGAGCTTATTCTTTGTCGTGGTTCTTCTAGAGATCTACTATGCCTATTTCTATGATTTTTGCTAATATCGGCAACTCTAGTTGAACAAGATCTCTTTGAATTTGCCGAGAAGCGGTCTTTTGAGTGTGTGAAGTGGAGGGCATAGATTCGATCTACATGAATCGATCGAAAAGTGAAAACGTGAACCGATCAATACCGATTCAATCGACAAATTATTAATAAACCAGCGGGGCGATTATTGAAATGATATCGACTGTATGTCGCCGCTTTGTCGTGTCGCGCCATCGACTAAGAGCCACTTAGTTGATGGCGCGACACGACAAAGCGGCGACATACAGTCGATATCATTTCAATAATCGCCCCGCAGTGTCAATTCGATCGACATATGAATCGATCCAAAAATAAAAATGTGAACCAATCGACGTAATTCTATAGACACCGATTCGATCGACTCACAGCTTTTGTCGATCGATTCACGGGTTTTTCGATCGATTCACGTTGATCGTCCATTTTTCATTTTTCGATCGATTCATGTCGATCCAAACCCTCTACCTTAAGCATCATCTAGGAATCTAAGCCACATAGCGGCCAAGGGGGTAAACTGTAAACCCCTTATTTAGCTTGCAAATAAAAAGTAAACGACTTGGATTTATGCTTCAATTAAATATAACGGATATAGATGGACGTGGGTAATCAGTATGATTGTGTCTATTCTATCGCATTTATACTTCTGAAAGTCAAGTTTAATTGTATTGCTATGAAATACTGGCATTTTAAAATTTTATATAGCTAAGGAAACTTACCACAAATAAAATCAATTGTGCACAAGTGAACAGGTACAAATAGATCAACGTCGCACCCCGAGCCGGAGTGTTTCTCAAGCCGTTCAACAAATGTTTTCGTGTGATAACTGAAACTGTCACCAAAAGATGCCAGTACGTTTGTTCGGAAGCTTGGGTTCACAATTTTACGTATTTGCCGCCAAGATTCACCTGTAAGAACATTTGTCCAGTTTTTAAGTGGGCGCGCAATAGCATTGGCGGATTCAGAAAATTGGCAATATTGTATTTTCTTCATTGAAACCTATGGATATGTATCGATTCTTGGAGGGGTTAGGTGCTTCAACAAGAATCGATTATTTATCATAGGTTTAAATGGAAGAAATCCGGTGTTGCCAAATTGCTGGATCCGCCAATATGCGCGCAATACAAGTTCGGAAATTAATAAATTGAGGCCATGTGTTCTCTATGAGATGACCATGGATATTTAAGGTGAGAGAGGGCCTCAAGCTAGCTATTTTTAAAAGACTTAGAAAATAAAGGTTGATAGGTATCAAAATTAAGATTATGCATGGAGAGTTT